CATGCAGTCCCCCGAGAGGGCTAAGTATTAGCTTAATAAACATATGTACCATATCATACATTGTTACTCTGTTTAGGGGACAATGAGACAAAAAAAAGTGCATGTTTTTCAGCACAGATACAGTTTTTAAAAATTCTATCTCCAGTTTTTGGAATACACAGATGTGGGACCCACGGACATGGAGGGCAGACTGTACTTGCTAACAGCACCCCCCATTATTCAACAGTGCAGAAGGAACCCGATAACCAATAAGAACCCCTCTGAAAAGACACACAGCAGTTATGGTGATAGAGAAATGATCATCTAAGCAGCAATCACAAAAATTCTCCCTCCTGAGGATGGAAAAAAGTTTCCTGGGTTGAAAAATTTGTTCCCCTGTCATGGAAAAAATTACTTTTCAGTGTTCTCCCTTTGGCCTTCTAGAAGGTTCTTCGTTTCCCATTCATTTCCTGGACTCATTTGAGCTAGAACTTGAGCTTGGGCTTAGGAACTTTTCAAACTGCTGAGGGACGAAATAGTCAGAAGCTTGGGTATTCACTGAACAAAGTAGCTCTTCCTCATAAGTGAATAGTTCAGGGCCTGGCACAGTAGCCTAGTGGCTAAAGTCCTCACCTTGCACGCACCAGGATCTGATATGGGCACCAGTTTGTATTCCTGCAGCTCCACTTCCCATCCAGTTTCCTGCTTGTTATCTGGGAAAGCAGTCAAGCACGGCCCAAAGCCTTGGGACCCGGCACCCGTGTAGGAGACCCGGAAGAGGCTCCTGGCTCAGCTGCTAATGTGGCGACTGCTTGGGGAGTGAGTCAGTGGGCAGAAGATCTTCCTCTGCCTTTCCAATAAAAATATACAAGTCTTTTAAAAAAAGTAAATAGTTGGGGCCTGGCACAGTGGCCTAGTGGCTAAAGTCCTCGCCTTGAACATACCAGGATCTCATATGGGCACTGGTTCTAATCCTGGCAGCTCTGCTTCCCATCCAGCTCCCTACTAGTGGCCTGGGAAAGCAGTCAAAGACAGCTCAAAGCCTTGGGATCCTGCTCCCACGTGGGAAACTTGGAGGAAGTTCTTGACTCCTGGCTCCAGATCATTGCAGTACCGGCAGTTGTGGTCACTTGGGGAGTGAATCATTGGACGGAAGATCTTCCTCTCTGTCTTTTCTCCTCTTTGTATATATCTGACTTTGAAATTAAAAGGTTTAAATATTTTCAAGTAAGAGTCTGCATAACCTAATATCTTGTCTGGATATAATATTCCAGCATGAAGAAACTGCTACATGAACCCTACACGGCACTCCAGGCTTACTGCAGTTCTTTCATTTCTTCAATCACAGGCCAAGGCTTTGAACAGGCTGGTTCAGTTGTCCAGAACATTGTGTCCTTTGCTGTCCCTTGGCTGTTCATCCTTAATACTTCAGTTTGCACTGAAGTTCCTCTGTGAAGCTTTCTTCAGTGATCCCTTTGCAACATGAATTGCCTCAATCTGCATGTCCCTTCCCACCACATTGACCAATCCTTGTCTTGCAAGGAGTTCCCTGAACACAGAACCAGAGGCATGGGTTCAGCTGCACAAAATACACTGAATGAGTGATGGGTAGCTAAAACTCACCAGGGAAGCAGGGCAAAGGTGATTCTCCAGTGGCAGATTCCTAAATAAATCTTGAAAAGAAAAAAAAACATAGATATGCCAACCAGCTACTCCACTCGTTGAGGACCCAATGGAAGACAAACTGTCTTACTAAGATCAGTTTTTAGCTGTCTGAATGCAGAGGTTCCATCAGTCAGGAAAGGGTGCTGTCAATCTCAAGTCCTTCATTGATCTGGTGAAAGAGCCCTCTGGTGGTGGAAACCAGCACTTTTGTCCCAGCTTAGAAGCACTCACGTACACACCTACACAACCAATTGAATGAAAAGATGAGATCACTCCCTAGTAAGTGAGAAGACATCGTCAGGAACTAACTGATGGCTTCCCTGCCTCGGTGCACCCACTCTAGTCAGGCATTTGAGCTTGTTCCACTTGCAAATTCAAGACTTTCCATGCTCTGTGACAGCCTTGGCTTTGGGCAGAACATATAAAAAAAGATTACCTCGCCAGGTCAAAACCTCAGGATAAAGCTCCATTCTTCTAACTCGTGTCCCTTTATCCTCTTTACAAAAATTACCCACCTCCATGTGCCTGAGCTTCCTACCTATTGACTTTACAATCGTAAATGAATACTTAATTCTGCCTGGACGTCCTAGGCATTCACCCTGCATGTCTAGGCTTATATTATAGAGCTGAGGGAGTAGAGATGGAGCCATTTCCATTCTACTGTGATTCTGGGAAACGGGTGATTGGAACCCTCTCTCCCTAAGGTGCAAACACATCTGGCTTCCATTGACATAGCTCTCCTTTGAGAAGACTCTCCTTGTTCCTACTGGAGTAAGAGAAGAATCAAACAAATCCTGGAATGGCTGTTTGGATCACTACCAATTAGTTCATACTATTCATGTGTCAGAAAGCAGGTAAGGGAAATTTCAATAGTTCATTAACTCCTCCCAGGCAAGAGCAACTTCATTTCCATGTTACACATAGCTTTTTCTGTAAAATGCAAAAATAATCAAAGCAGGGACTTCATTGAGAAGCACATTTTCTTTTAAAAAGTAGTGACTTGTAGGAGACCTTATCCATTTATCTCCAGCATCTCTTGTCATTTTTCTGGGATCTAATTTATATGTTTCATTTCAGATACAGAAATTTTTTCAGAGCAACCATGCCACATATACATGCCACAAGACAACTTGAATATAAGTGTGTATATCTACATGTTAGAGATTACACTATGTTTACACAGCTGTGAGCACCCACACATGCACATAGCTGTATATTTATGGCAAACAAATTCACATAGTCCTCAGCATATACACCTGCTTTACATCCAGAACAAATTGAAGGCATTTAAAGCTCCTAGTTGAGCAAAGCACAGGTAAACATTCAAATTCAATCATACTCTAACTGCAGATTCAATGCATGTGCACCAAGAACCAAGAGTTCAGATAAGCATAATCCTAAAATAAAGTAGCAAGGTCCCTGGGAAGTTTTGAACTGCACTTGAGAGCTCTTCAACACATTGTTGCTACTCAGTCCTCTGGATAGAGCTCTCAGCCAGAGAGGTGGAGATGGCACCAGGGGAGTATGTGTGTCGACAATTACCTCCATTCTATTTTAATCCAGTTAAATCACATCCACAGATAACAGTTGGTTGTGGGCAACCACATTGAAGAGACTGTGCAAGCAACCCAAGAACCCTCAGTTCCCAACATTTGACCTTTGCACATAGACCACATGTGCCAAAAGAAAAAACAAATCATAGGGGTTATCCTGTGCACTGTCTTTAGTCTACTCAGGGTGCTCACATATGTGCTGACATCTGTAGTAACAAAAAACTGGGTTAAAGGTTTGCATTTTGCAGTATTGCCTAACTCCAAGGAAGGGAATTTTCAAGTGTATAGTGGCATTTGATCTGCTTGGTGGTCAGATTCAGACACCATATGAACATACCAAGGACCTTTGGGTGGAATCTGACATTCTCACTGGCTCTCCCACCATGACTCCAAGACAGAAGTGTTAGAATATGTGTAGTGTAATCAGAGATAAAAATTTCACAGCCCTTTAACCCAAAAACCCACACATGGGTCCGAAAGGTCCAAATCCAGGCATCTCCTTGTGTCTTTTAAAAATACATAATCTTGGGCCCGGCGCGGTGGCGCAAGTGGTTAAGTCCTCGCCTTGCACGCCCGGGATCCCATATGGGCGCCGGTTCTAATCCCGGCAGCCCTGCTTCCCTTCCAGCTCCCTGCCTGTGGCCTGGGAAGGCAGTCGAGGACGGCCCAAAGCTTTGGGACCCTGCACCCGCGTGGGAGACCCGGAAGAGGCTCCTGGCTTCGGATCGGCATAGTATCGACCCGTTGCGGCTCACTTGGGGAGTGAATCATCGGATGGAAGATCTTCCTCTCTGTATCTCCTCTCTCTATATCCGCCTTTCCAATAAAAAATAATAAAAATAAATCTTGAAAAAAAAAAAGAAAGTGACTTCTTAAAAAAAAAAAATACATAATCTTGTGTCTATGCACAGTTCCAGATTTGATCTGAGCGTGTTGTCTCCGGTGTAGGGCAGAGCTCTAGAGAAAGCAGGGTAGACATATTGGTTTGTTTTCTGGGGAACCAAATTGAGGCAGACAGTGCACAGATGTGCTTGTGGTAACACTTTCTGCTCGCCCAAGTGAGCCACGGAACCATCATCCTGAGCCGCCTGCCCCTTTAAGAACACTCGGTCTTCAGGGTCTTCTGTCTCCCCACGGGCTCCAGCAGCGCCCCGCAGCTAACGGCAAACTTGTCTGGCTCCTGAGAGGGTTGTGGGGGGTTTGATTGCCGAAGGCTGCTCGGGGTGGGGGCCAAGAGAGCGCCAGAGCACGCTGCGGGCTTCCTTCCCTCTTCCCCTTTCCTTAACCCTTCCCGGGGTGGAGGGACAGGGCAATGCTGCAGCGCCCAGCAGCCGGAGCTCTGACGGCTCTGGGTTCAACGAAACTTTGCACGGAGCGTGGGCTTGACTAGGCAGTCAAGCTGGTCAGCTGGCTTGGGAAGGGACGAAGAAAGCGTGCAAAAAGGACAGACCCTTTCAGCACCCCGGATGTTTAGGTCCGGGCACTTGCCAGGCTAGGGTGCAGCGGCAAGAGAGAGCTGTCCCTTTAGCACCGCAGAGGCTGGGACAACCGGCGGGACGACAGACCAAGAGCTATCCGTTCAGCACCACAGAGCCAGGGCGACGGGCGGAGAGCTGTCCGTTCAGCACCACGGAGCCAGGGCAACAGGCGGGGAGCTGTCCCTTCCGCACCGCGGAGCCAGGGCAACAGGCGGGGAGCTGTCGGTTCAGCATCACGGAGCCAGGGCTGCAGGCGGGAGCTGTCCCTTCAGCACCACGGCTCTCTGCCCTCAGAGAAAAGCGCTCTGCCCCCGCCCCAGGACAGTTTGAGCGGGGGTGTCGGGAGCAGGCGGAGAGCTTTCCTGGGAGGCTGGGGAAGCAGTGAACACTTCTCAGCGACTCGCCTCCTAGCAGTGCTATTTTTTGCCATCCGCCCTCACCCCCCAGCACATGCGCTCGCACACGCACGCACACACACACATACACACACACACACACACGCACACACGCACACAGACCTCTCTGGATGTCTTTGCCTTGAATCTCCCGGGGCTGTAACGAGCCAGGCACATTTCAAACCAAGCTGACAGCCCTAAGCTCGGGAGCCATGCCCTGCACGGACTCTCGTCACTACCGAGCTCCTGAGGAATGAAAGGAACCCGGGGACTCTCAGAAGGCAGCAGTGATGTGGACCAACCCCCTGGAGCCTGCACCCTTCAGAGGGCCGTAGGTGATTCGGGGAACTGGAGAGATCTCCAGACAGGAAAGCCTAGATTCTCCAAAGTCTCTGTGGATGCCGACAAAAAGAGACAGGAATATTTGGAAGAGCGTGCTCTAGGTTAACCAGCTGCAGAGCGATTTTCCCTCTGGCACTGAGTCTCCCCCTTCAACCCCCAGCGTCCAGAGTACCATGAAGAATTATGAGGATGTGTGACAGAGGTATCCAGATGTTGATCACCACTGTGGGAGCCTTCGCAGCTTTTAGTTTAATGACCATTGCAGTGGGCACGGACTACTGGTTATATTCCAGAGGTGTGTGCAGGACTAAATCTACAAGTGATAATGAAACCAGCAGGAAGAATGAAGAAGTAATGACCCATTCGGGGCTGTGGAGGACCTGCTGCCTAGAAGGTATTTACGAATTCCTCAATGGCTCTTAATAATCCAGTTTCTGATATTCTGGTGGGTGTTTGGGGGAGACGGAGGCAGTGATGAGAGAAGAGGAATAGTTCAAGTGATTGCAGAGAATGTGCAGTTGTCCAACCTCCATTCCCAGAAAGATCGATGCTGTGTAGGATAAAAGGTTTGAGTCTTGAGTCTCGTTGGTTGTTTTTTTTTTTTTTTGTACTAAGCTTCTTGAGATGAGATTTTTGTGACATTCTAGCCAGCTTCTGCAGTTCAGAAAAAAAAAAAGTCTTCATATCCAAAATTCCTAGGGTGTGTTGTGAACTGCTTGGATCTTAGGTTTGAAGTGAGGTGTTTAACTCTGCTTGCCTGGTGTTTCAGCAGCTGGGGGAGGGAGTGTGGCCCACACCAGAAGGGAGGAGGGGAACCCTGACCTGACCTGTCACATTCTGAGCTTTTTAAAAAATCTCAAGTAGTCTTACCATTTTCTTTGAAGTTTGATCTAACTCAATATTATCATGAACTTTCATTGCCAACTGGTGCCAGGATAGCATATGTCAACTCCCACCAGCACCCCACACATATTTTAATAAATCTTCCATATTGATACATATTTCATTATTTTGGATTTTTAAAAACATTAAATCTTGGTGTTTGATATCCACCTGTCTTTATTCCTAAATCATCCCAGAATTCAACAAATACATTCCTGTGACACTTACATAATATTGGATATCCAAGAATTACAGCAAATCTGCTGAATTATAAAAAAAAAAAAGAGAACTCATTCTAAATTATAATGAAGAGGGCAGATTAATTTTAGCATATAAAGCCCCTGTAGAGTCTATCTCTTTTAACCTTACTTTCACCATACCAAGAGTTGTTCTCAGCATCACTGTTCAATGTGTGGATGTCATTGGGAATAAACAAAATTAAGGAGAAAACCAAAGCTTCTGAGAAGCTTCCCTACAAGCTTGAGGGAAGTCACTGGATTAGAGGGGCGGGAGGGAGTTTTTTGCAGGCTCTTGAGGATCTATGAAGCTTGTCATGGTGATAGGCAAGGAAATTTGGGTTTCCTGTATGCTCCTATTCCCTTCTTGCTGTTGGTTCTCCACACTTGCACTCCCACTGGCTGGCATACATTAGAGCTTCTTAAGAACTTGTATTTATGTAAATCACTCAGGAAATCATGCTATGACATCACTTGCAAGTGTAATACTGCATCATTCCCTGGCCTTCTTCCCATGTCCTGACTCTGAGCCACAGCTTGCTTGACGATAGCGCTACTACAATTGATTTTACATCCAACACAGATTTGCAACTGGTGGTAAATCCAGATAGGAAAGGGTTGCTTGAGATGCAACAAGGGTTATTGGCAGTCAGAAGACATAGGTCGTGCTACAAACTCTATGTGACCTTGGCTAAGATACTTACCCTCTCCAGCCCACAGTCCATCAACCTGGAAGTGATTATTTAGAATAGCACTCTCCAGAGCTCACACTGTATCTAGTGTATTGACAGAAATTCTGGAATAATTTTTTCCCAAGTGTCATCAAAAATCAGCAAAAATTTGTGAGCATTTATCGTTGGGGATGTTTCAGCCATTTACCTTATGGAAGTTCTGTAATTCCCTTTCGTTTATTGAAATCAAGAAATCAAATGATTTTTTGTAAAATTATAACTTGGCAGATGTTTGGATGTTCTAGAGGTGTCATAAAATATATGAGCCTCCTCTCAAACCTAAAAGGGTAACAATATGCATACCATGTTTAAGTCATTCATAATTTTTCTTCCAAACCCAAGACCTGGGATGCACAAATAAATATCAGTTTTGATTTCCCCACTAAAGTGTGTGAAAAAATACATGTATAAAAGTAGAAGTGGAATACAATATTCCTAGACCCTTACTTAGAATTTTTCAGCTGATGACTTCTCCATTTTGTAATGTCACCATACAAGGAATGGGGACCCTACCCAGGTATGCTATGGAATTAGTCACAGAGGTGAGAAATTAAGTAGAGAAGAAATTGGTTGAATAGAAGATGTGCATTTGAGAAAGTAAAGTCTCTCTAGAAAATTTGTTGCAGTATCCATGCCATTTTTCCTGCCCTTTTAAAACATTTCTTTAAATATTAAACACATTAAGATGCCCAAACACTAGTAAATCATGGTAAAATTTTAACCATGTTACACACCCAGATAACCAACATCTAGACAGGAATAGAAAATTTTGAAACCAAGGTTTTTCTTAATGTGCTATTAAGCTTTCAAGAAATTTCCAGGAGTCTCTGATTTCTGTGTGAGCAAACAGATGCAAACAGATGCAGCATCCATCCTGGACATTTCCACCTCCTGCTAAAATGAAGATATACAACCATCTTCCATTTGGCATCTCCTGCATACCCCTAAAGACTCAACACCCTCATTTCATGATCCCTCAGATGTCAAAGGATAACTGGGAAGTCGTATACTTCAATCTCCTTCTAGAAGAAATTAGGAGAGTCAATTCCTCCATAATTTTTGAAGAGCCATGAGACAATGTGCTACTATGTCTGGAAAGAATAGAATGCTCAGGAGGGACATGACAGCTGTCTACAAACATCGGATGGACTGTCAAATGGAAGGGAGATTTGAAATGTTGTATGTCACCTCCAGGGAATAGAAGCAGGAGACGGAGGAAGCAGGTTGTACCTCAGTATCACTATGGAATAAATGTGGAATAGGAACATTCAAGAAATGATGAGTCCTCCATATACATATTTCAGTAAAAAAAAATGTTACATCATTGGTCTCAAACTGCACTAGTCATCAGAAGCACATGAAGCATTCAAGAAAATAGATTGCTTGCATAGTCCCTGCTTCTGTAGCTCTGTGATAAAACTGGTATATTCTCTAAGTCCTCCAAGCAGTTACAATGGTAATACCAAGGCATATTGAGTACTTGTAATAGATCTGGGATGACTAAGTGTGTTAAAAATGACCCTATCACTCAAATGAGAGAAAAGTGCATCCAGGTTTGATTTTTGTGGCCCTGTGTTTAGTGTTCACGATGTGCTTGGAATGTTCCAAGAATTTGGGGGAAAAAATAGCTCTTTCATCTCCAAAGGAGCTCAGTGATGTTGGTACAGTTTTTACCCTCATTTTACAGGTGAGGAAACTGAGCCCTGAAGAAGTTGCATAACTTGCTCAAGGTCACACATCTCAGTTCAGCAGTCAACACTCAACCTGAGCCACACTGCTTCTGAGAGCCTTTGCTAGAGAATGTTAATTCATGCTCTCATGAATAGTTTGCAGCTGATACAAACATTAGCTCATTAGAATGCCTAGACACAGGATTTTTTCCCGCTATTCAGATGTCCCAGATCTCAGAACACCCAGCATGTCTATGTAACAATCACAGAGGTACAGGAGCCAGGCAGCCACCAACTTAGAAACATCAAAGGACACGCTTTGAATGAAAAAAACAATCAACCTATGTAGAGACACCCACACTGAGCAAAGAAGGCCTGATTCATTATCTTGAAACATTGTGAGGCATTCACAGAGTAACGCCCCAACCTGCTGCATGTTTTCAATGGCAGCGTTTGAATTTGAATGAGAACATGTTCAAGATGTAATTTTCTTGTTAACAAAATCTTGGAGACTAAGGACAATTAAAATGTTATGTTAGACAGTGGAAGGCCATTGGCCAACTAGCAAAGAACACTAATCCCATTCCTGTCATTAACAGGTGTGTGAATCAGGCACGTTAGCTTCTCCTTCAGGGCTATTTTGGACTTCACTGTACCAAATTCTAAAACAAGATCTTCAGGGCGACAAACATGAATTTAGTGGTTAAGCTGCCGCTTAGGATTATATATCCCATACCCAAGAAACTGGGTGCAAGTCCTGGCTCCACTTCCAGCACCAGCGTCTTGCTAATGCACACTGTGGAAGGTAGCAGATGACAGCTCAAGTATATGTGTCCTACCACCTATGTGAGAGTCCTGAACGGAGTTCTAGGTTCCTGACTTCTGCCTGGTCCATGTCTGGCTGTTGTAGGCATCTGGGAGAGAACCAGTAGAGGGAGTTTGTGTGTGTGTGTCTACTTTTAAAATAAACATAACAATTTAAACATGAAATGAGAACTTTAAAAAAGATGAAGCAATAACAATCACAGATGTCCTTCTGGACTGGGCAAGTTTCATATGAAATGTGAAGCTTTTTTTCCCCCATTCTTTTAAATCAATGCTAGCACGGAGAAGACAATAGTATGCTTGAAGAGTAATGTTGTCATTAAAATCTGATGTCACCGGGGGAGCAATAAGGAATGGTGGGGATTATAGCAGACTGGAGGACTGGAGTTCCTTGTAGAAGACAGCTATCATTACCACTGCTCCTACTTGGCTTGAATTTATGTTGACCCTGGAGAGATGTCCACCAAATGTGGCACAATATTTAAAAAAAAAAAGTCTAGTGTAAAATGTCTTCATTTTCACAACGTGAATAGTTCATGTGATTTTTTTTATTATTATAGAACCAGTCAAACCAAATCCATCTTGTACCTAAATTTGGCCCAGAGACTGCCAGTGTTGAGTTCTGAAAATTAATCGAATTTTATGTTTAAAACTGATTTTATTTTTATTTGAAAGGCAGATTTACTTAGAAAAAGAGAGACAGATAGAGAGAGAGATCTTCCATCTGCTGGTTTATTCTCCAAATGGCCACAATGGCGGGAACTGGGCCAATCTTAAGTCAGGAGACAGCAGGTTTTCTGGGACTCCCACCCAGATGCAGGGGTCCAAGAACTTGAGACATCTTCCTGTTACTTTCCCAGACCAAAATCAGGGAACCGGACCAGAAGTAGAGCACCCAGACACCGTTTGGTGCCTATATGGGATGTTGGCACTGCAAAGGGTAGCTCAGCCTACAGTGCCATGACATCAGTCCCAAATTTTAATATTTTATATGTGGTTCTCAAATTCCTTTTTTTCTCAGTTGATTAAATTTTTTTTTTCTGCCAAGAA